GGGGCGGAGTTATCTTTTCACAGGGGGTGAGATACACTTTAAATCCAATAACCTTGTTTTCTTCCAGCCCCTTTGGAGAATGTTGTTGTTTTTGACTGCCAGACCTTTAATAGCTACCTTTGCCTTTTTACTGTTTGGTGTAAAGCTTGTAAATTGTTAGTAGCAAATAAATGCAACTGAAAAACGAGTGACACAACAGCGGGGAAGATAAGCTACATTGGGCCTCTTGAAAATACGGTATTTATAGTAAATACTTTCAGATTTCACGTGGGGTATGACTCAACAGATTATTCTGGGGGGATAAAGTAACTTTGTTCTACCTGAGGGAAAGTTGAGAGTTAGAGCCATCGTTCATTTGCATTTTGGTGAAGAAATGAATAACAGTGTCAAATTATTATAAAATACAGTTGAAACGGGAGAATGACTCACAAGATGTAGCAGATGACACCGATGCTCCACATGTCAGTGGCCAAACACACGGGTTCATAGCCGATCACCTCAGGAGCTACAAACTCAGGAGTCCCATGCATCACCTTCAGAGGGGCGCTGCCATCTGTTCAACATACGTTTCAAACTTTAAGCAAAACTATCATTTCAAAAAGACAAATACGTGTTTAAGAGGTTACATACCAAGCCTGCTGGCTAATCCAAAGTCAATGATCTTTATGGACGTGCCAGTGGTGTCGACACACACGATGTTTTCAGGTTTGAGGTCCAGGTGGACGATGTTCTGCTGGTGCATGTAGGCAATCCCCTCCAGGATCTGCTGCATGTAGCGCACACTGGCAGGCTCCGTGTGCTCGAAGTTGTCATCCACAATTCGCTCGAACAATTCCCCGCCTGCAATGCTGCAGCAGAGTACAACGAAGTAAACAATACGGTTGTGACATTTGGCCCAGACAGTGGTGATGCTAGGGGGGTGGCAGAAAGTGGAATCTTCTACTTTTCGTCAAACTGTCGCCCATTTTCCCATCTCCCACTTCGCGAAGCTAATGGTTTAACCCATCGACCAGACCTGGAAATTTTTACCAGCAAAGACGGTAAGTGTCTTCAGAAAGGCTATGATGTTCTACCCTTGGAGCACCAAGTGACAAATAAAATGTATTAATTTCACCAGCAGGTAACTTATATCTATGCCACACCTTTGCCACCCTAAGAAAAAAATCTCATGTTCCACAGTTTGCCTTTGAAAATTTGCCGCGACAATACTTACAACTCCATCACCATGACCATCTCACGTTTGTGGTCGTACGCCCCCAGACACTGAACCAGTTTGGGGTGATGGAGGTAGTTCATCAGTTCGATCTCTTTACGAGCAGCTTCTCTCTCTTTGGCACGATGACCTTTGTAGAACTTTCCAGCGCACACACTTCCTGTCTCTTTGTGTGTCAGCTTGTAGACCAAGCCAAATTTCCCCCTAATGAGGACAGAAGTCAGTTTTATTGCAAAACATTAGGCATCAAATATAATAGTCAGGTGTATAATTTAACACAGGTGATTCAAATATGCCTCCACCTTCCAGTAAAAGTGAAATATTACTGTACATTTCTTGTAGCTACAAACTGCCCCAGCTGAAGTTGTAAAACACACTTTTGATTGTTGGAACGTGTCTCAACATGCTAAYATTTTAATGATCGCTCTCCTGCTTGGCAGACGTTTCCTTTTACCCACACAGCTCTGATTTGTTTTGCATCACAGTTTCGTTTTTTCGTCTCCCTCAAATACTCAAGAAAGTGAATTTTGGCTCAACTTCAAACCCCAGGTTTTTCGAACATGGAGGAACAGATACTTACCCTCCAAGTTTCTCGTGCACRTTGTAGTGATCTGTGACTTTATGGGAGGAATCAATGGTGACACAGGTGTACACCTCAGGGGCTGCTTGGGGTTCGTCAGAATCTGTGCGGATTAAACAAAAAGCTTGTTCGAATGACTTCATACGGGTTTAAATGTTCACACGTGCTGCCGTGAACTCCTCACCTTTCTGCTCCATCCTGACCGCTGTTGAAACCGGGCTGGGTTCACTGACCCCCACAGCGTTGTACGCTCTGACTCGGAAACAAAACTCCCGCTGAGGTTCCAGTCCCGACACTTTGTATGAGGTGCTTTTGCAGCGGTTGGTGAGCTCCTTCCACTCTCGGGGCTCGCCGAGTCCCTGCTTCCTCACTTCCACCACGTAACCCAGCACGACGCTGCCGCCGTCGAAGCAGGGGCCYGACCAGGAGAGCGCAAGACTGGACCCGGATACCAGGGAGGCCACGGGAGACGAAGCGGGGGGCTCCGGGATGTCTGGTGGGATCGTGATTTTGGACAGTGTTTAACTAGCTGCTTGATTGTATCTCCAGAATACCGTGTAGTCTTACCTATGACAGAGAGAGTGAGCGTGTGTTGTGCCGAGCTTCTCCGGTCTTTCAGCACAACGGTGTATCGACCCGTGTGCTCCGCTTTAGCCTCTGCTAGAACCAGTGTGCTGCTCTCATCTGTGTTTTCTGTCCACTCTTCTGGACTATCTGCTATCTGCAGATAAAAATGCACATTTGKGAGAAGTTGATAATTTGTCTTTTGGTCTTTGAATTTCAGGGAAAGAATGGCTCTTTTGATCCTAAAGGACTTCAGTCCTAAATGAGAAGATATTTCAATTACAAAAGGGATTGGGTTTTCGCAGTGGCTGGTGCACAACTGTGAAACAGTTTAAGTAAATAAGTCAGTGAGTCAGTGAGTCAGTGAGTCAGTCAGTCAGTCAGTCAGTCAGTCAGTGAGTCAGTCAGTCAGTAAGTAAGTAAGTAAGTAAGTAAGTAAGTAAGTAAGTAAGTAAGTA